AGTATAAACAAATAGCTGTGGCGGCTATTAAATAGATTTGGAGGTAAAAAGTAATTAAATCACTAGCTGGGGGTTTTACTGTAGGTTTAAACACATTGGCCGACCAGCTGTGAGGTTACATAAGAGTTAGTTAATTAAAAACACATTAAGAAGTAGATTGTATTCAGATGAACCAGTCGTATAAACAAACAAATAAGCAAACTACTGTAGACGATGGAAATGAAACAGTCTTTGTATGTTGTAATTATAGTGAACATGAGACGAGCGGGCGGCGAGAGTAGTCCTGTTCCAAGTTACATAATAGAGATTAAAATATTCTCCTTAACTCTGGGTCGTTGTAATTATACGTTGCCTTATATTTGAGGTCTCTGGGAGGGAACTGGTGGTGGTTGGTGTCGCCTGTGATGTAAACAATACCTACACTGGTTTATATTATGGTGTAAAGTGTTGATAATGGTATATACAATAAGGTAAATAGTGAATATAACTCATGGTGGGCGTGTGGGCGTAAAGTAAAGAAGGCGAACGTAAAATACTCAACGTTCGCGCTTGTGTTATGTTGCAGGAAGCTGAAACTGTCTGGATAATGGTGCAGAAAATACTAAATCCACTAACAAGTATTTCAGGGTTTATATATAATCTATAAAGGAGAAATAAAACAAAACCCAGTAAATTGCGGTTAAATTTCTCAGGAAGGTACCAATGTGCGCGCCACGACGGTTAGTGTTGAAATTTAGCCTCGTATCGTTGCTAAATATTTCCTTCCCTTTTAAAATTAGTATTCGGGATTTTTTTTTCCTAAGTCGTCGGAATGTTGAAGGTGGCGCCATAGTGGTAAGAATACATAGTTTACTGGTCACCAAACGTAGCCACAGTAGCCATACCCGGTCTTGTGTATGTCAATATGTGTGAAATTTAGCTACGAAATACGGCTCCAGTATTTTTAGCCATCATTTACCCCTGTAGATCTATGTACCGTGAATTTTATAAGTTTCTATATAGCCACTGTATATTATTTCTATTCGTTGCTATACTTAATTATCCTAGATATATTATACAGTAACTACTGTATATAGGTTGGCCTGGTAACATACAGTGACGCTGCTTGTTCCTGACTGAGTCCAACTGTACTCATTAATTATATACTAATTATCCAACGAATTAAAGTTAAGCTTATTGTTAATTGATATTTAGACATTAAATCCCGGGGTTATTGTTAATTATGTTGGTATTAGTAGAGGAGGCTGGGGGCTGTGTTGGTCTCCTGCCCTTGTTGAAGTGCTAGGGGACACACGCACACACGCACACATACACACACACACACACACAAAAGTAGACGGGTTCATGGAGAAAGAGACAGTGTTAGACAGAAATATATACAACAGACAAACGGGAAAGACAGTATCCTGAAAAATAAAATATTCCAGTTAACTTTTTTCTTCATATCGTCAATTTTCCTGAGATTTTGTTGTTGACTTGTGGTGTGAGTTTCCGGGTGACACGGTTTGTAATGATTTGCTTTTGTTATTGTTTTGAGTGCGAGCGACAAGTATCGTCTTCTTGTTCTTCTCGTTTTGTTCTTGTTCTTACTGTATTTGTTGATTTTTGTTTTTATTCTTGTTCTTACTGTACTTGTTTTTTGTTCTTGTTCTTAATGTTTTTGTTGTTTTTATTCTTATTCCTCTCGTTGTTCTTGTTCTACTTACTGTTCTTGTTCTTCGTAGTGTTCTTCTTGTTTTTCTTGTTCTTCTTTCTCCTCCTCCCCCCCAAGAGCACAAGACAGCACCAGGAACACTTAACATAACTGGTTGATGTGCATAAGACATCTGTAATTTGATAAATCTTTATTAATGATATACTGTATGTCTCGGTAAGATACATATTATTACAGTAAGATACAGCTGGGATGGTGTAATGAGGCTGTGTCGGAGTTGCCAAAAATGAATTATGTATTTATTTTTCACATAATTATAAAACAGCCAGTAATTATGTCACGTTTTAGATTATTTTATCTTTATTCAGTGTTTGATGGTAAATTATGTTCGTATAATTGTCTTAATTTTGTTTACAGTATATGGGGTGGTGAGGCCTATTATATTTGTTAAGTTTTTATATTATTTTTTTTATTCACATTATGGTATTACAGATAAAATTTGTTAAGTTTTATATTGAGGAAAATATTTGGTTATTTTGAAGTATAGGAACATTTGATAATCTATTTTTATTTCAATTTCATACACCATTTTAATCTTGTCTATAATTATGTTTAGTAAATAGTGAAGTTTATTATTCCACATTATAGACAATGGTTGTGTCTGTTTGTAGTAAATCAGTGTGACGTGTCTTACTCTTACACCATTGTCTCATATTTGCTGTTTTAGTGTTTATTAATATAGGTTTTATTCCTTGGGGTTATTGTTTTTTTTTATACAGTGAAACCTCCATATAGCGGAATTTTCTCTATATAATCCATTAGATGTGAGTTTTACATTTAACGGAATCTCGATATAACGGACTTTTATCTCAATTTATTAGAATGAGGTTTCGTATTTAACGGACACTCGATATAACGGACTTTCTTGTTCATATAGTCCGTTAAATAAAGGTTTCACTGGCAAAGTTGTGCACCTTTTCTTTCGCGTAAAAAATTCTCAATTCTTGGTAACCTTTCCTGGTGTGTGTGTGTGTGTGTGTGTGTGTGTGTGAAGAAACAGTTGGCTTCTCTTCATTTTCTTTTCAAAGGGACATTCATTTTCCCTTCCGGTCATTCATCTGTTTCTCTCTCTCCTGTCTTATTTAATTGATGTTCACTTGTTTTATCACTCTCCCCCCCATCTGCTACCAGTTTCTCTGTTTACATCTTTAACCGATCTCTCTCTCTCTCTCTCTCTCTCTCTCTCTCTCTCTCTCTCTCTGTCTCTGTGATAGTCTCCGTCGTGGTGTTATCGTCAAGAGGGTGTACACACAGCCTCCAGTCACTCTTGAGAATGGTCCCCTTTATCTCCCCTGACTTCTTCTCTCTTCCTCCCTTTTACCTTTGTGTGTTTACCGTCTCCCTCCTTTCATCAATCTTTCTCCTTCTCTTCTTCTTCGCCATGTCTTCTGTTCTTTTTAATCCTCTATTTATTTACTTAATGTCTATCTATTTTATGTATTTATGTATCTTTTGGTCTATCTCTATGTATGCATGTATGTATATATGTATTTATTTATCATTTTTACATCTATCAATTTATCTATTCTGTATTTTTATTCTTCATTTTCCCTTCGTGTGATCTCGAAGTCCGGGGTTGTGTTAGGTTGGGTTTGGTTAGGTTAGGGTTGGGTTAAGTTAGGTTAGGGTTGGGTTAAGTTAGGTTAGGGTTAGGTTAAGTTAGGTTGGGGTTGGTTAGGGTTAGGTTAGGGTTGGGTTAAGTTAGGTTAGGGTTGGGTTAAGTTAGGTTAGGGTTAGGTTGTGTTTAGTTAGGTTAGGTTAATCTTTCTAATCGACTAAATAACCTCACCATTTTTGCTTTATTCTGGGTTGTGTGATGAGGTAATGGCTTGACTTTGTTCTCTTTATTTTTTTCGTTTTATATTTTGTTTTGCGTTATTCTAGTCTTCTGTTTTGTTTCTTTCTTTCTTCCCTCCCCTTGAGTCATTCTTTCTTCTCATTGTTTCTCTCCCTTCTCATTTCTCCTCCTTTCTTACACCACCCCTTCCCTCTCATGCCATTCCTCTCCTTCCCTCATACCATCATCCTCCGTTACACCACTCCCCCTCTCACTCCACCTCCCTCCCCTCACCCCCATCCCTCCCTCTCTCCCCTCACCTCTCCCTTCTCTCTTCGTCAGTGTCTGCGGCAGGAGTCACTTAGACTGAGGATCTGAGCCGGGAAATTTAGTCTCTTCCTGTAATTCTTTTGTTTATGTTTCTGTCCATCATTTATTATCTCTCTTCTCTTTTTGTCTCATATCTTCACTACTTTACTGCTCACAATGCATTCTCAACGTTAGAGAATGCATTGGAAATTGTATGTATACCTGCATTGTCTATATACATGCCAAACTGTATACCTGCACTGTCTAAACACACGATCAAACCAACGGTAAACTTATACGACAAATTTACTGAAGAAATAGATCTTTTTGTCTGTCTAAAGTATCAGTGTAATGTATCCCCTCGCCCCCCCGACCGATTCACTCACTCACAGAATCATTTATGAGGACTCGGTGATACGGATTACAGGACTGAATTATTCACACCTAGATTACAATACCCTCGCCGCACTTGAGGAAAATGACTTGCATATTTTACCTGTGTAGTTATGAGGTGTTATGGTGTTAGTTCGGTAATGATGATGGTGTTTGTGGTGGGGAGTGGTGTTTGTGGTGGGGTTGGGTAGTGGTGGTGTGCTGGAGTAGTGTACGTCATTCTCACTTTTGGAAGTTTCTCAGTTAGTATCCTGTGTGTGTGTGTGTGTGTTGGTCTCTATGTTCTTCAAGTTATTAGGTTTAGTGGTCCAAATGAGTCCTCCATCGTACGTCGTCCAGTGATCGTCTAAGTGTCGTAACTCTGCAACGATAAATTCAATCTTTTTTTAACTGTACCGGCGGGATGTTTCCTAGCCCTCCACACATTATTTTGTTTATGAGTTATTATATCATGTAATATGGCCACCAGGACTGCCATTTTGACATTTTCTAATCGTTGTTCCGCCTAGAGTGATGAAATATTACAGATAGCGTCTAGTGGAGGGAGTTACTGGTTAAAGGCTGCTGAAGGTACAGTACTGTTAGCTTATACGTACAGTACTTGTGTCTTTACGGTCAGCCCTTACTATGATCCTTATTGTCTACTGATCATTTATTATTATTATTATTATTATTATTATTATTATTATTATTATTATCATGTGTAATTTCAGATTAGTGTGTTTATGATAGTGATTAATCATGTATATACATTTTTGTTGTATGATTGTTAATGACTGTCACTGATGTTATTTTCTGTTGTTGCAGATGTTGAGCATGAGTTGTGTGGGCGTGTAGTGTAGGCGTGGTGGTGGTCCTCCACGGTCGGACGCTCCAGCCTCCCTCACACCTCATTGCCTCCGTGTTGATAAGATAACCAGTGACTAGAGAGGACTAAACGACAAACTAAATTCCTCAAGATAACAGTTCACGATATCACGTTGAGGTAAACAAAGAAAACTGATATATTCTCTTGTAAGTGTGATGACGTGTGTAAAGAGTGGTCGTGTGGGTGTGCGGGCGGCGTGGGTGTGCCTGCTGGCCCTTACCCTCACGCCCGTGGCCGCTTGGATCCCCTTCTTCGGCGAGGAGACCCACAAGCACCTCAACCTGGAGAGTCACCACAGAGGTGAGTGTGACACCTTGCTCTAGTGTATCAGATGCTCTCCTGTCTACATGTGTGTGTGTGTGTGTGTGTGTGTGTGTGTGTGTAAAAGTATAATTATAATTGTGAATTAGCGTTTTTGTATTTATCTGTGTACTGTATGTAGAAGCCATCTTACAAGAAGTAGCATGTCGCTCCTGTATTAAGGTTGTCCCGTTGTAACGGAGACAATATACTTACAGCATATACACCATTTATAGTGCATACAGCCGAATACATGTGTTTCAGGTCGTCTGTATGGTTTTACAATATACATGTTTATATTCACACCGCAGTTATTTAACACGATATTGGGCACATTGCATTGTAGAGGTGCGGCGGCCCACTGGGCACAGCGCTGTCCCCGGTCCCATTAATCGTTAGTGTAATCCTGAAGCGCTCCTTAACTGTTCACAGCTGTAAATGGGTAGTTACCAACTCTTTACAGTTGAGAAGTGGAAGACGATCAGGTCCAGTGCTCTCCCAAGACTCTACAAAAATATGATCCATTTCCAAAACCTTAGATAAGAATATAAATCATTACACATTGAACGGAAATATCATCATCTGTGTACTGAAAGACTTAGTGTGTGTATTGAGCTGCGTCAGTTTCAGTGTTTCATAATATGCTTACTATCACATTAAGTTGAAGCAACACCACAACACTTTAGATTCTTACCACGTGTGTGTGTGACAAGTTTAAGGTAGTAATTATTAGACAGTTGATGCATCAGTTGGCATAACAAGACAGTTGCCGTACACACACATACATACCTGCCAAAGAAAGAATTCAATTGTTTGTGCTGCTTACCACCAGTGATTGTGGCGGTGGTGGTGAAGGTAGTGGAGGCATGGGTAGTGATGATGCAGTAATGGTGGAGGGGAAATAGTAGTGTTGTAAGTAATAGTATGAGGTGGTGGCAGAGGTGAAGCTAGCAGTGATGGTAGTAGTAGTGTTGATAGTAGTAGTGTTGGAGGTGGTGGGTAGATAGCTAGCAGTGATGGTAGTAGTAGTGTTGATGTAGTAGTGTTGAGGTGGTGGTAGAGGTAGCTGTTAAGTGATGGTAGTAGTATAAGAGGTAGTAGTGGTGGTGTTAGTGGTGAGGTAGAAAAGGAGGTGGTGGTAGGAGGTAGCTAGCAGTGATGGTAGTAGTAGTGTTTGGAGGTAGTAGTGGTGGTGTTAGTGGTGGAGGTAGTAGTGTTGGAGGTAGTAGCGTTGGGAGGAAAAGGGAGGTTGGTGGAGGTAGCTAGTAGTGTTGTAGGTAATAGTGTTGGAGGTAGTAGTGTTGGAGGTGGTGGTAGAGGTAGTGATGGAAGTAGTAGTGTTGGAGGTAGTAGTGGTGGTGTTAGTGGTGGAGGTAGCTAGCAGTGATGGAGGTAGTAGTGTTGGAGGTAGTAGTGTTGGAGGTAGTAGTGTTGGAGGTAGTAGTGGTGGTGTTAGTGGTGGAGGTAGACCCAGGAGGCGGTGTACCTGGTGTGTCTACTGGTTAAAGTTGAGGGGCGACGCTGTCTGTCCGCTCGCCTGGGGACGCGTGGCTGTGGTAAGGTGGAACTGCTGTGCCGTGCTGTGCTGGTGCTTGTTGGTGCTGTGTTGGTGGTGGATGGTGCTGTGCTGGTCCTGGATGGTGCTTGTTGGTGCTGTGTTTGTGCTGTGCTGGTCCTGGATGGTGTTTGCTTGCTGGTGGTGGATGGTGCTGTGCCGTGCTGTTCTGGTGGTGGATGGTGCTCTTAGTTTATTTATGCTGTTTTGGTGGCTGTTAATGGTGTATTGGGGCTTATTGGTGCTGTGTTGGTGCGTGAAGGTGCTGCGGTTCTTGCTACTCTTAATCAATGCTGTGCTTCTTCTTGGTGCTGTAGTGATGCTGAGTTTTGGTGTGTGTTGGAGACTGTTGGTGTGTGTTGGAGACTGTTGGTGTGTGTTGGAGACTGTTGGTGTGTGTTGGAGACTGTTGGTGTGTGTTGAGACATGGTGTGTTGGAGGCTGCTGTTGGTGTGTGTTGGAGGCTGTTGGTGTGTGTTGGAGGCTGTTGGTGTGTGTTGGAGGCTGTTGGTGTGTGTTGGAGGCTGTTGGTGTGTGTTGGAGGCTGTTGGTGTGTGTGCTGGAGGCTGTTGGTGTGTGTTGGAGGCTGTTGGTGTGTGTTGGAGGCTGTTGGTGTGTGTTGGAGGCTGTTGGTGTGTGTTGGAGGCTGTTGGTGTGTGTTGGAGGCTGTTGGGGTGTGTTGGAGGCTGTTGGTGTGCTGGAGACTGTTGGTGTGTTGGAGACTGGTTAACTCCAGTGTCTCTTCGCTCACATTACTGAAAAACAATTGTCTTTGTTCTCGTCATCAGATATAAATGTTTCCTGCGGAAGTTGTGTCGCTAAAGTATACAGTATATCGCGTCATTCTTACTGTATGCTCGTCTCGTGTGTGTGTGTGTGTGTGTGTGTGTGTGTGTGTGTGTGTGTGTGTGTGTGTTAGGATCAGTGGTCTTTCATCCTTGAGTGTCTAGAACCATGAGTCAGTCAGTCAGTCAACTCCCCTCACTGCCGCCAGCCAGTGTATCAGCCCCTAACTGTTTCCTCTGTGTTCCTGGAAACCTAACCTAACCTCCCAGGTGTCATGTTATCATTTACACCAACTCCCTCACTACAGGTACACAGGTAATTCTCCGCGTCACTAATTAACAACATACCTGCGTGAATTATTCCCCCCCCCACTTCTCTGGATGATTCACTACTAGAGGAACGCGTTTGTACCCAGCTCACGGCGGGGGGGGGGGAGGCAGTACCTTCAACAATAACAGATTACCTTAAGTGAGATACAGTGCCTCAGGTGGTGATTAATGGGAAGGTTCTCTCAGGTTTCTCTGCTTGATTTAATGTTATATTATAATGATTGTCCTTGAGTTTGTTGTGTTAAGGCTTCCTCGGTAAGTGTATCAAGTTCCTCTCTCACAGTGTTGTTGGTAAACGAGTTGTGTTGGTGGGTGATGCAGTGTGTGATCCTCTCGACCTGTTGTGGCCACTCATAGCTGAAGGAAATGTTGGGGGTGTGACGCCGTTTAAAACTGTGACGCCTCATAAAACCTGTGACGCACACACACAACTCCCATGAGATAAAAATTAGTTACAACTGGCATTTTCGAATCACATATTTAATTGTTTTTGTTTTCTCTTGATCACAAATTATTAAGTCACAGAAAATTACATAACTTTTACGTTCACAAGATGTTCACAAGGTGTACAGTATATCGGTACTTGATGGAGCGATATTTGGGTAAAATTAAGTCGTTTCGTGAAAATTCTGTACCGATGAAAAATTCAGTTTTTTTGTGGTGTTGATGTTTATGTTAGCATCTGATCTGTGTTCTCTACTTGACTCTAACACGGTCAATATAGAGGTTAGGTTAGGTTGTAGGTCGTTGAATACAGTATTGGTTATGGTGGTAAAATCTGGGGTTCTCAGTGGTGTGGATTTCATGGATATACTCAGATTTCACGTGTGAACCTGAAGTGGTCTTATTAGGCTCAGAATCTGGATTAAAATAAAAAAAATCGGATTTAATATTGTCTTAGTATATGTAGTGGCATTATTCATTTGGACAAGGTCGTGGCATCAATCTGACTGGAACAAATTGACTAATTAGCTGGCTCGCATGCACACTAATAATGGCTAGACTGACTGACAGGTTAACTGACCGTTCGGCTCGATGACTGATTAGGATAATGATTAAGACTAAACCAAGCTGGCAGAGTGATCAGTTGATTAATCTGACTGACTGGTCGACTGACATTCTTACTGACTATCGAGATTCTGACTGATAGAGTAATTGACTGACTAAACTAAACCTCTTTTATGATTCAGGAGTTTTGAATATGATTGAACAACTCTCAGGAAATTTGAATCCAAGTGGCAGTTGTAATTGAACCGTCTGCAGAGAAGAAAAATAATTAAACTGTCAATTTGTGGCAGAGAAAACGACAAAGTGAATATTAGCATGTCACTCTGACCAGACACACAGGTAGTGACTGGGTGAGACAGGCGAGTGCAGACGCCGTGGATTGTTGTGAATACGTCTATGGTGAGCTTGTCCAAATAGAAAAACCCTGAATATCATCTTTTCAACATATATTAAATAATCCTTCCTAAAATATAAAATATATGATTTAAAGCTGTAAACTAGAATAAAAAAAAATGAAAAAACAATCCTAACCGCAGACGAGTTAGGAAAACAATACGCGTGAGAGTGGCGAGAACAATAATGGTTGCGGAGGGGCGTTCTACCCAAGGCCTGTACACCCTCGACCCCCGCCTCCCGACCATTGTCCATACTCACACCCAGCTTGTTCACTCTCACACTCAGCTTGTTCACTCTCACACTCAGCTTGTTCACAGTCTCGCCTTTCATGTTACACAGCCAGTTGAGACGGACACAATGGTTAGAGGGGTGTTGCAGGGGGTGCGGGTGGGTGTCGGGGAGCAGTGAGAAACAGGTGGATGACACCCAACACCGCCGTGAATTTTTTTTTATATTTTAGGAGGAAATTGATAACTGTATAAAGGATGAGTGTAAGAGCCTGTAACTGTATAAAGGATGAGTGTAAGAGCCTATAACTGTATAAAGGATGAGTGTAAGAGCCTATAACTGTATAAAGGATGAGTGTAAGAGCCTATAACTTTATAAAGGATGAGTGTAAGAGCCTGTAACTGTATAAAGGATGAGTGTAAGAGTCTATAACTGTATAAAGGATGAGTGTAAGAGCCTATAACTGTATAAAGGATGAGTGTAAGAGCCTATAACTGTATAAAAGGATGAGTGTAAGAGCCTATAACTGTATAAGAGCCTATAACTGTATAAAGGATGAGTGTAAGAGCCTATAACTGTATAAAGGATGAGTGTGTATAAAGGATCTATAACTGTATAAGGATGAGTGTCTATAACTGTATAAAGATGAGTGTAAGATAACTAGAGCCTATAACTTATAAAGGATGAGTGTAAGAGTC